CTTCCCTTCCCTCCTTCTCTCCCTCCCCACTCCTTCCCTCACTCATATTCTCTCTCTCTCTCTCTCTCTAGCTCACTTTCACAACTTGGAACATTTCTTTGTTTTTTGGTTTTGACCTGATTCATTATTTTGTAAATACTGGCTTATTTTTGTCATGTGTAGAAAACACACTGAATTCTAGTCTTCCTTTTTCAAAGGGTTTATATAAACAATTTTACCTCTTTTCATGAAAAAAATTCCTGTTTGTCAATTTTATATACATTTTGCTTGATAATAACTTATTTGACTTGACGGAGAGAATTGATGATAAATGTCATGTAAGATATATTTTCTATCACTTGACATTTATTTCAACTTTGGAATTGCCCTCATATTCAATGGTCAGCAGTCCCTTCAGGAGAAAGGAGTTACACGGAAAGTTGGATGAAAAGATACCTTTGGCCCAACATGAGCTCTTTCTCCTGAGCCCAGCATTGAGTCCGCGAGTGAAGCCCACGCTGGCCTTCCTCCTCCTAAGGAGACACTGGCGTGGCTGCATCTTGGCTCAGACATTCTTCCCTCACGTCTGACCCAGGGGGCGTGCCGCCGAGTGCCGCCGACAGTGCTGATGTGAAAATGACCCCTGGGCTTAGACCGCCTCTGGACTGGGGGGCTAGGAATGGACTATACACGCCTGGTGGGAGCATAGCGTTGGCTTTCCTGATTTTGGGGTGACCTGTACCTGGGCACTCCCCTTGCTGGGACCAGGATACTGTGTTGGAGGTGAATTACAGAGAGCGGTTACGCGAGATTTCCACGCCTGGGTGGCTCCTGGACCGCGATGTAGACTGATGCCCTGGCATCCAGCCTGGGCACTGCGGGGGGCTTGGGGGGTGCCCTGGAGGCAGAGCCCCCCTGATGCCACCCTGCCGGCCTCTGTGCTGGTCGCCCTGCATCCTGCTGAGGCCAGGAGGGTCCGGGAGCTTGTCTAGGGGACCCTAAGGCGCCCGAGAGCGGCCATTGCCAGGTGGAACCTGGTCCTATGAATGCGATGCTATTTTTACTCCAGAATCTTCAGCTGCAGGTCACACTGACGGTTACTTTAATTTTCAGGGTCTGACAGGCAATCCTGGGGTTCAAGGTCCTGAAGGAAAACTAGGGCCTTTGGTAAGTGTTTTAAGCCAACGCCCACAGCCATGGGTGCTCCTCCAGGCAGGCAGCTTAGGGGGGCTGATGTTTTGGATCATGTGGGTGCTGGCGAGTTTATCTGTTTAAGGGCCCTGCCCCTTGGAAGCAAATAGTTAGGATCTGCATATTTTCAAATTCACCAAAATTGTCACATTTTATTGAAGTAAATGTTTGAGATTAAAATTGCTTCCTGGACATCAGTGAAAAAGTCAGAATGATGTATTCTTCATATTGATGAGATTTGTCTGTTAGCAGCATTCTTATTTCTCTATGTTCCTTCCAATTTGATACATTTAAGAGATAAGTAGGTATGAATTTTGACATATACTCTGGGCCCTTCTCTTATATGCAAATGTGAAGTAGAAGTCTGAGGTTTCATTGCCATGAAGTTAAAGGAGAAGGGGCAGATTCCTCTTTTCATCTGAGAATGGGAGGAGACATGGAGATGAGGCTCCTGTATAGAATGAGAATGGAGAGTCAAAGATACTTCAACAGCTTTCGCTTGTTTTTGTAGACGCTCACCTGTTCTAATTCACTCAGATAACAATGTCGGATAACTTAAAACATATTAAGTTTTATAGTGAGCAAAGGCAAGTGACTACTGGGGTAATGTGATGTTTAGGAAGAACCTACACAGAACTTACGTGGCTCCTGTGGCTTTTGCAGGGCGCTCCGGGGGAGGATGGCCGCCCCGGGCCCCCCGGCTCCATAGGAATCAGGGGGCAGCCTGGGACCATGGGGCTCCCCGGCCCCAAGGGCAGCAGTGTGAGTACATGTGTAACGTGCCTGTCATCTCCTGTAGTTCTCACCTGGAACAGGCATGCTTTGGACAAATTGATTGACATGTAAGTTTGTTCTTTAGGGTGATCCTGGCAAACCTGGGGAAGCAGGAAATGCTGGTGTCCCTGGACAGAGGGTAGCTATATACATTTTCTGCTAAAGAAAAGAAATAAAATTACGCAAATTCTCATGGCCCTCATCTCACAACTTCTCTCTGTGTGATGCTAGGGAGCTCCTGGGAAAGACGGCGAAGTCGGCCCTTCTGGGCCCGTGGGCCCCCCGGTATGTGATCTTTTGGCAAAAATGTGTTCATATTGCATTTTCCATTGTGTTTTTCTAAGACTTTACTTATGATAACTTTGGGGGGAAATAAAGAAGAAGTGCAGATTGAAGAATTGCAGTTATATCTGCATATCTTTCCTTTTGATCCTGTGCTGGAATCTTCTGCCTTTTAAAATGGCATGATTGGCTTCTTCATTTTAAATCTCTATAAAATGCTGATGGCAAAAGGCTACCTCTTCATCTTTATGTATCACTGTTGGAAATATGTCAACTAAGGAAAATAGAGCTTGATTAACATTTAATACTGTATTTTATTTAAAATATTAAAATACTGAATATTATCTATCTTATTCTAATAATGTGTCCTATAGATATTTATTTAAGCTGGTTTTTCTTTTGAGGGGCTAAAAAGGAATAATACTCTTTGAGGTATATTTTCATCCTAGCATTGTAACATGAAGTGTTTATCAGAAATATTTTGGCATTTTATTTGCTTAAAATACCAAATTAATTAAAATGCTAGCTTTGTTGACTAGTTTTGAAGGTTTGATTAATGGTTTTTATGACACTTAGAAATAAACTGCAATGAAAATATTACCATTTTAGATTAGATATATGAAAGTAATGAATTTTTCCATCTCCAATTCATCCAATTTCCCCATAATTTTATGGTTAGCTCCAGACAATTTGTTTGGATCAAAAAATAAACACATGTCATCAGTCTCTTTGCTGGCTTTGAAAGATATTTTCTCACTAGCAAGGATTTCAAACCAATAGATGACTTTTAATACTAGTTTAGTATCCGGCCAAAGTGCAGAACATGTGATTGGAAGAAATACAATAAATGGAAATACTTCTAGTGGTTCTCACGGGCAGGAAGCGGGGTGAGGGCTGGCTCGGGATTTTCACCATTTCCTTTCCTCTGTGCCTTAGGGCCTCGCTGGGGAGAGAGGCGAGCAGGGCCCCCCTGGCCCCACCGGCTTTCAGGTACGCGCGGGTTCTGTGCTTGAGTCCCTTTCCACTGACTACACGCTCTTTTAAAATGTGAAAAGATACGAGAAAACGATGCGTAGCTCTACAGTTTTCCAGGTCATCCCTCTTTTAGGAAATAGGATAGACATTTGAATAAAATCAAACATTTTTTTAAAGAGAAAGAATAGACTTCCCCTGAAAAACTGATTAAAACCCAAAGCTATTAACAAGTGAAAAACCAAAAAATATTCTTCATATCGCAGTGACATTTATTTAACTGTTTTAAGGCTTATCTGATTTTATTGGTACAGTATCTAAAAGATTTTGTTGAACAAATTTTCATAATTTATCTAAATATATTGGTATGGTAGATTATTTAGCAGCACGAATAAGAATAATTTGGGGAAAAGAAACTTTCAGTAGTATTCTAGTAACCTAGTACTGTGGTCGGCAGATCGCGACAAATACCACGTGTGGGCGCACATATAGTGCGAGTGAAGCTTTGTGGCCCATGCACAGAAGTCGGTATTTTGTGGACGAGCCACACTCAAGGGGCCAAAGAGCCGCATGTGGCTTGCGAGCTGCGGTTTGCCGAGCTGCAGTTTGCCGACCACTGACCTAGTATATTGTTTTCAGAGCCTTTATAAAAACCTACAAATCTAAAGAGCCTCCTGTTACATTGTTCTTTTGTTTGCTAAGTGATATGCAAATGAAGGCCTAACCAATCAGCTAGCTTCTGTGGTTAGTTATGAGATGGAGGTCTCTCGGTCTGTGTTTGTGTAACTTGTGTTTGAACAGCATCTTTTGCTTGAAAAATAGAGTCCCGGAGGCTCTCTGAGCTGTAGGAGGTCAGCTGCTGACACTGGTGGCCTGGTCAGCTTCACAGTCACACTTCCATTGTTGCTTTGGTTTTAGGGGCTTCCAGGCCCCCCAGGGCCCCCCGGGGAAGGTGGAAAGCCAGGAGATCAGGTAAGTGTTTGAATACGAAGAACAGCAAATACTAAAAACCACTGCTTCTTAATATCACTTATCATGTGTGAGGCTCCATTCTGGTGTGATTTACATATATTATCTTTTTATAATATCTTTTTATTGATTTCAGAGAGAAAGGGAGAGGGAGAGAGATAGAAACATCAATGATGAGAGAGAACCATTGATCAGCTGCCTCCTGCACACCCCGCACTGAGGATCCAGCCGCAACCCAGGCCTGTGCCCTGAGGGGGAATCAAACCCCAACCTCCTGGTTCAGAGGTGGACGCTCAACCACTGGGCCACACCGGCTGGGCCATATGTTATCTTTTTTAACCTCAAACCACCCTTGCTACTATTACTCCCCTTGTTATGGAGAGGAAAGGGGCCATACAGATGTTGGGTCGCACAGCTGGTGGGCTTTGAGCCCAGGTCACATGCTTCCCAGACTGTGTTCTTAATCCCTGAGTGAGTCTGAGTCATGTGATGGAGTTTTCCTGGAGGCTTTACCAGCTGTTATGAACAGATACTACTTTATCTCTATCATTTTATGAGCACATGGGTTTATTTCGTTTATTTTTCCCTGAGGAATTCATTCATTCCACTATCCAACAAGTATTTGCTGAGTGCTGCGTGCTCAGCTGTGCTAAGCCTTGCTTGGCCTTAACCAGTTGAACAAGGTGGACATGGACCTTGCCCGTATCCTGTATTACAGTGGGGGGCAGAGCACAGGGAGACAGTGACAGTGACTCTAACTGCTATGGGGGGGCGGGGGCAGGGGGGGACTGTGTCTATGGAAACACAGAAGATGCCATTGATTCAGGCTGGAAGTTTAGGAAGAGTTTCCTGGACGAGGTCATAACTTCCATGAGATCTGAAGGATGAAGGATGGTAAGCGGAGGAGGAGAGGTGAGGAAGTGCGCTAGGACATGGAACAGGAAGGACAATGTTTTGTAGGTCAAGTTAAGGCCGTGAGCACAGTTCTGTGGGTCAGGAGTGCAGAGTGCAACTCAGATGGAGGGAGGCTGGAGGCGTGAATTGGGGCCAGATTATGGAGGGTCTTAATTTGAGTCCTATTTGTTCTTCCTCTTGGAATAATGGGAAGCTGACGAAGGGTTTTTAAGTAGGGGCACTACCGTTTGATTGAGTTTTAGGAAGATCACACCTCAGTGAAGACAATAATTTCAAGGGATAAGACCAGAGGCCTACTTTATACAGAGATTATCTTTATCAAAGAAAGAAACAAACTTTAATGGAGTCATGACTGCCCTAGTCTGAACCCACAATTCCTAGTAGAGTGTGTTGCCCACATTATATGTTCAAGAAGTATTTACTGAGTTAGTGGAATTGGTTTTATTCAACAGACCAGTACTCTACTGCTTTTAATTTCACTTCCCTCTCTTAAAACTTTTTCACATTGCATCAGGAAATAAAAGACTTTTAGTATATATTACTTCATCTCTAAAAAAATGAATGTACTTTGGAAGATAACGTTTTGTATGTTCTCACTGCCAAAAATCAAACATTCAGTTACAATATCATTTTTTTCTGGAAAAATATTTCCATCCAATTTGTGTGATGCCCACTCTATTTATAAAAGTGGACACATCTTTCTTTCTTCAATATTTTGGGCTTAGTGCGTTAAAAAAATTGGGTGTATGACCTGGAAAATTTCTAAGAAATAAATGCAATTTAGCTCAAAGATTTCCTTCCCACCTTTTAAACTGTATTTTACAGGGAGTTCCTGGCGATCCGGGGGCCGTGGGCCCACTGGGACCTCGAGTGAGTATTCTCTCCTTCACAACCGCCTGCTGCCATTGGCTTCCCTTTAAAAAGCACCTTTTCTGAGTGTCTTCAACGGGGCTTGCTGTGGCATTAAATTCTCTACTTACAGAAAATCAGTCCTGTGAGGAATATTCTGTGCTGGGAAACGACCCTAGCCTGCCTTCACGTCTATTTCTTACCACTAAATCGGGAAACCGAGCCTCAGTAGTTGCTCATTTCTGAACCTTTCCCCGGGAGGACCTGTTTCATGTTTTCAGGAATGTTCCTAACCCCTTTAGACCAAGCCCTGAGTCTGATACTCCACTGTTGTGCTAGGGAGAGCGAGGAAACCCGGGGGAGCGAGGAGAACCGGGAATCACCGGGCTGCCCGGCGAGAAGGGGATGGCCGGCGGGCACGGCCCCGATGGCCCGAAGGTGAGTACGAGCCAGCATGTGCTCCTCGCGTTCTCCAGGGTATTTGATTACTTAGTTTTCCTCCTCAGCAAATGCTTATGGGCAACTACAGGCTTGCGCTTGGCGCTAAGCGTCAGCTAAAAAGGAGTCCACTGTTGTGATGGGGTTTATGCTCCACTTTCCTTGTCCTGAGTTCCACGATTCTGCTGACAAAATATACGGACGTACATTGTCTTTACATCTAAAATGAAACACGGCAGAAGGCAAGAATCAGTGCCATTTCTTTCTGGGCGCCATTTTAACATTGATAGCAGACAATGGAACCAGTTTCAGTGTAAACATCTGAGGTCGAATTTTTCATGATTATGCAAATCTTACGATCCAAAGTGATTGCATAAGATTTGCTTCAATTTAATCACTGAATGAGCCTCAAAACCAGCTTAATATCATGGGTTTATTACAGAGAAAGTGAAATACTCTCTAAATGTAATATCTCCTTTCTTTAGAATCTCATCATGATGTTACCAAAATAAGAAAAAAGGGAAGCTCTATCATTTTTATTTGAATCAGTACTTAATTTCCCCAAAGAGAAAAGTTGAAAACATAAACTGATTATCAAAATGGCAGGTCTGATTATTGTTTTTTTAATGAACTCAGAGGCCATTTTCCAAATGAAACATAAGCACTGGGTTAGACCATGTGAAGTCTCTGAGAATCTACTATTTTGACTACTAACATGGTAATTCCATGTGGTTCAGTTTGGATATTGAGGTGCTCCCCCTTCCTGTTGGTTGGTTTCAGGGCAGCCCAGGACCAGCTGGCACCCCCGGGGACACGGGCCCGCCAGGCCTTCAGGGCATGCCCGGGGAGCGAGGGATTGCAGGCACGCCTGGCCCCAAGGGCGACAGGGTGAGTCTTCTTTCTTTTTTTCTGAGTTCATTCAGTGAGATTTTCTACCGACAGTGATGTCCTGGGCAGACATTACTTCCGCCGACCTGAGTCACAAGCCGTTCACTCACTCATTCATGTTTTAATGTCTATCTATTGAGAGAATGTGCAGTGCCCGGCATTGTTCTGAGCTCCAGGAGATACGGCTCCAAGCGTAAGACGTGACTCTTCACTCGTGAGCCCTCCATGCAAGTGTGGGAAGGAGACAACCACACGAACGCAGGCTGTTCTGTGTTTCCCCAGGGCGGCCTAGGAGAGAAAGGCGCTGAAGGCACAGCTGGGAACGATGGAGCAAGAGTAAGTGAAACCATTCGTCCCCCCCCCAGCCCTGGGGTAACATTATCATCATCATGGGAAGTTGCCTGGACTTTCCAAAATAACGTTTGTAGTGCTTCCATGGCGGTCGGACTCGCTTCCATGGCCGTCGGACTTGGAGAATGAGGAAACCTGAGATTAGACGTTGATCAACCGTGGACACTCGTTCTGCTTACCTCGAGTTAGGGCAGCCAGAACAGAAAGTCTATTGAGAGATGTGAGCGGTCACTGCTGTCCACGGCGGGGCCTCTCTCATCCTTCTTCACAGGCCTGTTCATTCTATAAAGTAGCTGATCTCATGAGCTGGTCTAGACCTCCTTCCAGGCGAGGCAGGTAGAGTTTTGTACAGCAAAGTTGTGATTAATGTTTCTCAGTATATTGGAGGTCAGGGGTGAGAAAACAACAGGGCGATGAATCAGCATTAGTAAAGGGGGAAAATGAAGAATACATTTTCTCTCTATGAAAAAGTGTGTAAATTTATATTTTATTTCATCAAATCCTTTAAGGAAGTATATTAGGTAAATTATTGGAAGAACGTTGTTCCACTGTAGATCCAGAGAATTTAATATAGTTTACTCGTGTTCTTGTTAATAATATAAAATTGAAAAATCATGTTTGTTCCTTAAGCTTCTTCAGTAGTACGTACAGAAATTAAATTACAAGCGAATATCTGGCTGCACAGGAAGAGGCAGCACACGGGTACCGGAGGGAAAACGTGGTTCGGGAAGAGCTGCCGCCGAGGGGAGGAGGGGGAGTCTGTGGCCACGTGTGGAGGAGACCCCGCTTGTATCCTGTGGCAGCCCCCCCGGGCTCTGAGCAAGAGCACCTCCTCTTCTCAGTGTCGCTGGGCTGTGACGCTTCCTTACATGCAGGGGGATGCAGAAAACCAAATGCATTAGCACACTTCACTTTTTTGAAATAAAAGAGTGACATTTTGCTAGCGTATTAGAATGCAAGAATATGGCATTTTGTACAAATGAAGACACGTCTCTTCAGTCTAGACTCAAATTTCAAGTAGGATTAGCAACGTTAATAGGTGAGAGACAGGGAGGCGCTGGTGGAGAACAGCACCGAGCCAGACTGCTGTCTGAAGGCAGGGCCACGTCTGGGTGAGCTGAATTAGATGAAAGAGATGAAGACATTCTGTGGAGATTGTTCTCGACCAGATAGAAACATGTTGAGAGCATGTAGATGGCGTTATTTATTCTGGGTCATGCTCTGCGAAAGCAGCCGCATGACACCAGCACAGCCCTTCTCTGTGTGTGTGAACGTGGAGACTTTGTGCCTTCTCTCCCTCAGTGTCCTGTTTCTCTGTTCCCTGACAGGGTCTGCCAGGCCCCCTGGGCCCCCCGGGTCCTGCAGGTCCCACTGGAGAAAAGGTAATGAGTCCTTCTGGGGAGTCGGCCCATGAGGCCTGGAAGCGGGCTCTCTCACAGTGTTTTCCCTTTCGCAAAGCATGGCCATTGGCTAGTTCACGTCCACATTCTCCCCGTTATCTGCCCTCCATGCGGGGCCCACCGTCCCACAGTGGTGCTGTGTCTGCTACTGTTTTGGACAATAACCGTCTACCATCTGCTCTGCAGGGTGAACCTGGCCCTCGAGGTTTAGTCGGCCCTCCTGGCTCGCGTGGCAATCCTGTAAGTGACTGTGTGTTATGATCTCAGTATCACCTTGAGCAGTAAGACAGTCCCGCTCTTTGTCCTGATAGCTATAGAAAACCGTGCCTGATACAGTAGGCTATTTATAACTTTCTGGTTTTCAGCTTTTACTTCTCTCATTAAACTTAAAAAAGTATCACTCTATTAATGTGATACAATCGAGTGAGTATAGGTAAGCAGCTCACTAAGTAATTAAGAGACTTCTTTGAAACTTGAAACCTTGGAAATTTTGTTCTATGGTATATACATATCATCTATCTATCTATCTATCTATCTCACATTTAAGAGTTTTCCTCAAGCAGTATGTCTGATTTTTCTATATATTATTTTAAGACACTCCAAATTTATATAATTGTATTTTTAAAAAACTTTAATTAAATTTATTGGGGTGGCGTTGGCTTCTATGGTATAATCTATCTATCTATCTATCTATCTATCTATCTCACATTTAAGAGTCTTCCTCAAGCAGTATGTCTGATTTTTCTATATATTATTTTAAGACACTCCAAATTTATATAATTGTATTTTTAAAAAACTTTAATTAAATTTATTGGGGTGACGTTGGCTAGTGGGGTCATATAGGTTTTTCAGGTGTCAATTTCTATGATACAAGATCTGCATATTGCACTGTATGCCCACCACCCAAAGTCAAACCATCTTCCATCACCATATAATAGGCTTCTTCAAACCCTATCCCCTCAACCCCCTCTCTGGGAACCACCGCCTGTGCCCATGAGTTTTAGTTTGATATCCCGCATATGAGTGAAATCATGTGGTTCTTAGCTTTTTCTGTCTGACTTCTTTCACTTGGCATAATATTTCAAGGTCCATCCATGTTGTTGCAAATGCCGCTATGTCATCCCTTCTTGTGGCTGAGTAGTGCTCCATTGTGTTATGCACCACCTCTTCTTTAGCCAGTCCTCTGTCGCAGGGCACTTGGGTTGTTTCCGTGTCTTGGCCACCGCGAATAGCTGCAGCGTTCCTGTGCATGGTGAGGTGTGAACGCTCTCCTCTTGTCTTCCAGGGTTCGCGTGGTGAAAATGGCCCCATTGGTGCTGTTGGTTTTGCTGGCCCCCAGGTATAATTTTCATGTATCTCTACGTTCCATGAACACTCCCCTGTTAGAGCGTGAGTTCATTAGTTATCAATGCCATATGTTTTGAAGGTGAAAGATTCTGGAAAGTTTGCAGTTTTCTAGCTATTCTCATTTTCAAAACAGTTCACGGACTAGCACAAAAATGGATGAGTTCATACAGTTCCAGATTCTATACTTACTTGTTATAGTGAAACCTGGTGCGATAACGCACTTCTCTCAGACTGCCGTTAAGGATCCCACCAGGCCGCTTCTCCCTTCTCTGCCGTCATACTGATTACAAAGCACCACTTCCCAACAGCTGATCACGTTCAGTGTTCATCATGTTAATAAGAGTCGCTGTAGAGTAACTTGTCCGTAAGTGTTGTAACAATTGCTTATTTATGCCGTTGACAGGGTCCCGATGGGCAGCCGGGCGTGAAGGGGGAGCCCGGAGAGCCAGGACAGAAGGGAGACGCCGGCTCCCCGGGGCCACAGGGCCTGGCAGGATCTCCAGGCCCCCACGTAAGCCCGATGGAGACCGGAAAGGCCCAGGCCCCAGCTCGGCGGGTGCGCAGCCCGTTTGCCTCACTGCAGCCGTCTCTCTGTTTCTCCCCATCTAGGGTCCGAATGGGGTCCCCGGACTCAAAGGCGGGCGAGGAACACAGGGCCCACCGGTAAGTTGGTTTGGGGTGGAGCTCTGGGCGGACACGGTCAGCTGAGACATCAGGACCTCTTGGATATTTTAAAGTTGATCTGAAGCCGCAGCAACAGCTTCTGCGTGTGTAACTAGTGCGGAGGGAGATCCGTCTAAATCAGCTCACGGTCTTGGAGACTCGCTGCCTCCTCCGCAGTATAAATGGCCCCTGAGCGGTGGGAGATGGGGAACGGCGCCGGAGCGCTATCCATTCCTGCTGTGACGTGCGAATGTGGTTTCAGCCCTGGCCTGGAACATGCCTGTGTATGTTCACGATGAATGGAGAGCGGAGAGGGAGAAATCGCAGCCTTCCTCCCAGTTAATCCAGCTCCACTCAAAACAAAGGATCAGGAATAGCTGGACCTGGGTCACAGCAAGGAGGGAACCCAAAGGGCCACCAGCTCCCTGTGAGAAACAGGTGGCGGGAGCCTACGTCACGCACTGTTACGTTAAGGGGCTTCTGTGCTGCGTTTCTAGGGCGCTACGGGATTTCCTGGTTCTGCCGGCAGAGTTGGACCCCCAGGCCCTGTGGTAAGTCAGTCCCACTATTGAAGGTGGAGTAACTACACACACACACACACGTGTCTGTACACAAGACAGAGATACACACAGATTTAATTCTTATTCCTTACTCTGTAATTTAATCCAGGCATGATTTGTTTTCCCAAATTAACAACCCTATCTGACAATTCATACTGGTGTGTTGTCAAAGCAAATTCATCTCTGATCCCCTGTTTCTTGGGGGAGCTTATCTGCAAGTCCTTTCAGCCCCAATCTTTGACTGCTGGCCCCTGTGATCACTAAATCCCAGTAGCCCTGTGCTCACCCTCTCCCTCAGTGGGGAAGCATTCCTGGGACTTTGTTTATTAAATGTTATTCTTCCTTGATAAGATGAGATCAGACAGAATAAGATGTTATGTATTTATTGTTGGGTCGGAGCCTTAAGAGGTTTGAAATTCAGGTTAATTTCAGGCCTGAACAATGACTCCTGGGGAACTGCCTGCCAACGATGTCCATTTTCTTCTGGGGAATGAATGTCCGAGTATCTGACAGGAAAACGGGCATGAGGCCGGGGAAGGCCCCTGAGGCAGACCGCTGCCCAGGGCCTCCCGGGCCCCCCCTGCCCTCCCGCTTTCTCTCTGTCCCACTAGGGAGCTCCAGGGCCGGGGTGCGCAGCCCGTTTGCCTCACTGCAGCCGTCTCTCTGTTTCTCCCCATCTAGGGTCCGAATGGGGTCCCCGGACTCAAAGGCGGGCGAGGAACACAGGGCCCACCGGTAAGTTGGTTTGGGGTGGAGCTCTGGGCGGACACGGTCAGCTGAGACATCAGGACCTCTTGGATATTTTAAAGTTGATCTGAAGCCGCAGCAACAGCTTCTGCGTGTGTAACTAGTGCGGAGGGAGATCCGTCTAAATCAGCTCACGGTCTTGGAGACTCGCTGCCTCCTCCGCAGTATAAATGGCCCCTGAGCGGTGGGAGATGGGGAACGGCGCCGGAGCGCTATCCATTCCTGCTGTGACGTGCGAATGTGGTTTCAGCCCTGGCCTGGAACATGCCTGTGTATGTTCACGATGAATGGAGAGCGGAGAGGGAGAAATCGCAGCCTTCCTCCCAGTTAATCCAGCTCCACTCAAAACAAAGGATCAGGAATAGCTGGACCTGGGTCACAGCAAGGAGGGAACCCAAAGGGCCACCAGCTCCCTGTGAGAAACAGGTGGCGGGAGCCTACGTCACGCACTGTTACGTTAAGGGGCTTCTGTGCTGCGTTTCTAGGGCGCTACGGGATTTCCTGGTTCTGCCGGCAGAGTTGGACCCCCAGGCCCTGTGGTAAGTCAGTCCCACTATTGAAGGTGGAGTAACTACACACACACACACACGTGTCTGTACACAAGACAGAGATACACACAGATTTAATTCTTATTCCTTACTCTGTAATTTAATCCAGGCATGATTTGTTTTCCCAAATTAACAACCCTATCTGACAATTCATACTGGTGTGTTGTCAAAGCAAATTCATCTCTGATCCCCTGTTTCTTGGGGGAGCTTATCTGCAAGTCCTTTCAGCCCCAATCTTTGACTGCTGGCCCCTGTGATCACTAAATCCCAGTAGCCCTGTGCTCACCCTCTCCCTCAGTGGGGAAGCATTCCTGGGACTTTGTTTATTAAATGTTATTCTTCCTTGATAAGATGAGATCAGACAGAATAAGATGTTATGTATTTATTGTTGGGTCGGAGCCTTAAGAGGTTTGAAATTCAGGTTAATTTCAGGCCTGAACAATGACTCCTGGGGAACTGCCTGCCAACGATGTCCATTTTCTTCTGGGGAATGAATGTCCGAGTATCTGACAGGAAAACGGGCATGAGGCCGGGGAAGGCCCCTGAGGCAGACCGCTGCCCAGGGCCTCCCGGGCCCCCCCTGCCCTCCCGCTTTCTCTCTGTCCCACTAGGGAGCTCCAGGGCCGGCAGGGCCCCTCGGGGAGCCCGGGAAGGAGGGGCCCCCGGGTCTTCGCGGGGACCCCGGCTCTCACGGGCGAGTGGGAGATCGTGGACCAGCCGGCCCCCCCGGGGGCCCAGGAGACAAAGGGGACCCCGGAGAAGACGGGCAGCCTGTGAGTTGGCATCTTTGCTCTAGACCACCTGTAACTAGATACTTGCTAATAGAAACCATCACCATCACTGTCCAGCACCCGGGCACCTCCTTCATGCCCTGCAGGCTTTGCATGTGCAGTTCTCTGCGTTAGGAAAGAGTGTGTGTGCAAATATGAAAGTACAGCACTAATGAGTGTGGTTTCAAAATCCAAACAAGAACACACTCTTTCTGGTCTATCTGCATTGGATGAAGTAAATTTTTTAGGAAGTACATTACTTCATTTAATATCCAAATGCCTTTAAACATTAATGTGTTCAGATACATCATATTATTCTCTTTATTTTAAAAATGTATTCTTTTAAAAGAGGAAATATATTTGCCTGAATAGTTACCTCTTTTATTCCATCAATATTCATATTAATCTTCAAGTTCTCTTTCATGTGATAAGCTATTTTTACTTCTTAAATAAGGTTAGAAGGTCTGTGTGGATTATAAACTGATTACTTATATATCATTTGGTCTTATGAATCAGGGAACTTTTTCTTGTACCAGAAAAGCCTGTTGAGCTGTGAGCTACTGTAACGTTCTTGCAGATGGTTTTACCCTGGACAACTTCTAATTCTAGTTTATCCTCAAAATTAGGGTCCGGACGGCCCGGGCCCAGCG